AATCTCTGTTAACGCCACTTCTTGTCAATATCGGCTGTTGAATTCTTACTTCCTGGTTCTTCCGAGGATGGCATTTGATTGTGGAATTCTCCAAGCACATGCAAATATGCTAACAGCACAAGGAGAGATTTGAGGCTCATGGATCCCATGCAGAGCCTGAGATTGATAATGTGGACAGTAAGATCCACTCAACTTTGTATTCACTTGAATAATAAAGATTTGAAGAAATAGCCAGCTGTATTATATTGCACATTAGATCAGAACTAGGAGACTTAAATTCTATTCCTACTTTAGACACTGAATAGTAGAAGTATAGATAAGTGAGAGTAATTCTTGGATTTATGTAATTACCAGTAATATTGGTTCACTGATTACAAGGATTCCTTCCGTATGTGCATGTACAGAGCATTTCATCTGACACCTACATAGAGGAGAAAGCATTCCTTTAGGACAATAGTAATCTCTAAAATCTTTACAAAATTACTTTTAAAAAGAAAATTTTATTGTAAATTTTTACAATTACTTTTTCCTGACCTGTATCATCTACTGATGATTCTGTGTTAGTGATTTGGGAGCCAGGAAGAGAGATGTCACCCACCTGTACTGGGTACATGAAGGCCAAATCCTTCAGGGTCCGTCTGCAATTCCTAGCTCTGTCAATGTCTATCTTATTGTCAGAAAATGAGATATTTCCAAATGAGAGAAATAAATACAGCCTAATAAGTTGATTTGAGCCTAGAGAGCAGAATTGGAAGCCGGCATCAGAGTTAAGAGAAAGCACAAAATTCTTTGGGAACTGTAAGAGCAGGGAGCCACCGAGGCCTCTAGGATTTCAGGTGACAGGGAGCACGGGGACATGAAAGCTGAAGACTCATTTGTAGCTAGCAAGGGCCTCAGTGGATGGACACAGACGGAACTCAGGGATTCTGGAACCTGGTCAACTCACAGCAGGGAAGGAGCCCCTGAAGAGTAAATGATGAGAGGCCTTCTCCACTGACTTTCTGATGTCTTGCCCCTGTGTGACAGCAGCCCACATCAAGGGGCAGCTAGAGACTGAGGAAGGCATGGGGACTAGATCTGATTCCAATTAGCAAGCAATGTCCCGGTGCACAAAAGAAAAGAATTCACAGTTTTGCTGAAGATGCAAATAGAGAATATCAGTGTGTTAGGTTTCCTGCACTGTTACAAGCATTTGAGATAGTCAAATAATGGAAAAATGTGCCTTTTGGCTCACAATTTACAGGTTCCAGCTCATAGTCAAATATGCCCAGTGCTTTCAGTTCTGTGAGAAGCAGCAGAGTCTAGCATCAGTGCATCTTGTGCTCAGGAAGCCAAAGACTGGAAGCAGAAGGGTTTTGGGTGCCAATGTCTCCCTGGAGGGAAACTGTTAGTGATGCAGAGATCTTAAAAATGTCCCCCCTTTGCAGTGGCATGATGCCAGATTCCAAGTCTTTAGGATGTTGGACTGTGAAGAACTGTTATCCAAATTATGATTCTTTTGTGCTAGAAAAATATCTTGTTCACTCCATAAAAATGTAGTTTTGTATTTTGAGTAGACATTTAGAATAACTGCATATAGTAATTTAAAATAGAAACGAATTTCTGAAAAACATCTCATATCTACACTTAGGTATCTGTTATAAGCACTGTGAAGTGTAATATGATTAGAAGGACCCTAAATTCCTCTGCACATGATTGACGTAAAACACTAAAATAGATTAAACGCCTTGCCCTGATCTAGGAGGGAAACAGAAACTGGCTTGGAAAAATTTGTCTTCAGTTCCTTATATATAAGACCGAGGTCTTTAGGGTTTTTGAATGAGAAACATACCAAAGAGAAGTACAAAGGAGAAGGGGGACAGAAATGGATAGACACATGGGAATGGAGGTAGAGGAAGTGGAGTAAGGGAAGGAGTACAATTGAGAGGATGGAGAAAATAAAAGAGATTGTGTCCAATTATTCAACTGACATTTCAAGAAAATTAATATCTTAAAGAATCTAGTTTTGATACAGTGAACTATGACTGAAAAACCTAGAGTGTTAGATTACTAAAGCATGATAATTGTACAGTTAGTAAATATAAATATATATGTACTCACACAGATGTGTAAGAACACTAAACGTAATCCTATACACAAAATAGCAACAGAGGGAAGGACATTAGGATGAGGATGAGCAGGAGGAGAAAGGGCGGGGCAATGGAGTAGCTGGAAAATCCCCTGAACAGAAGATCCCATTTTGTTGTTTAGGATAAATATCCCTAGGCAAATTTTAGTGCCGCTGTCTGCGGATCACCCTAGTGATTTATGTGTTTTTGTGACACTTCTTGGAGAAATGTTGCTAGCAACTTCTTGCTGGTGACAATTATTTCTGTTAGATTACAGAAACAAATTTCAACAAATTGACTTTTATTATTTTAACAGTGCAGAGAAAAATAGTTATTACTTTTAAGATGAGACAGTTTACATCCTTACAACGAGCATTGGTGAAATTCCTTAAAATTAAAAGAAGCTTCTCAAGGAAGGGGTCTTTGAGAACCTCTCAGAGCAACACGAATGGATTTGATGTCAGGAGGTGTCAGCGTTGGCCATTTGGGAATTCAGAATCTTTAGGAAAGTGTCCAACTTGTATGTATCCCTGCGCAGGCATCTGCACAGGTTGTGAAAAGTATACATGAATACTTTTTCATCAGTTGACTGCAAAGATGGGAGTTCTTTCCAGAGGACAGGTTCCCCATAGTTCCAGATTTGAGGGTCAATCTGGTCAGCAAAGAGACAAACAGCATATTATTCATAGAAATACTGCGTTTTATCTTTGAATCTATTAGTTTTCAGTCAAGAGTTAAAAAGAGAGGGAAATGAAAAATTTTGCTAAAGGTGTGGGTTTTCATGTATCTCACACGGGTTCATAAAACTATTAGTCATCGAAAAGTTAGAAGTAAAACCCATGTGCTATTTTCTTGCCATACATGTAATCACAGGTGAAGTGTGCTCCTGCAGGAGTAGACAGCTAGACATCCAGAAAGTTGCTAGAGGATTGGA